TGGTCCATTCTCCTCCACCACAAGGGGGGTAGGAGGCTGGCACCCTCTCCATCCTGATGACCTATTTCCATGTCATTTGCATTAATTGGAGAATCTTTGTGAAGAGGGCATGTGTGTTGGGCTCCATCTTTTCAGCTCCCTTCAAGCATGAAGTCTGGTGTCAGAGGTGCCAAGCAGGTCCAGACAGGCACCTGGCAGGGTCTTAAAACTCAATCGCCTTTCACTCTCCTATGGACACAAAGACATCTGTGTGTGCACTTACCTCAGCAAGGCTCAACCAGCAAGATTTTTATACCCAAACTGAGCCAGTGCCATCTTTCAAGGAAAAAAGAGAAATATCCCACACCCTCACTGGGAATGACTGTCACTACATCATTGATGCAGTGATGGTGACTCTGCACTCCCAGTCCAAGTACTACTTGAAGTAGACTGTAGGAATTTGTTTTGAGGAATTCTTACTTAAATAGTGGTCTAGGGAGATAGATGATAGGTATTGTAGACATCATTCTTAAGACAGTTAGTATACATATACATGTATGTAGTGATGTATGATGATGAGTGGTTGTATCGGGAAGAGTTTGGTAGCCTAAAGGCCCCCATACCTTATATGGGTGTAAATGAAGGAGGATCCCTTCCATGGCCCACATGGAGCCCATTTCTGGCATTACCTACAGTAAACACAGCCTGTCTGGGGGTGTGGCTGACTGGGGGCTTCCAAATGCACCTGAGAGCTTTCCTTTCACACTTGAATGCAACTGTCAATATCCATATTTCCTGGCAAAACACCCCAAGAAGGATTTCATGAGAAGGAGCAGTGTCTGGCCCTGTAATTTTTCTGGTGCCCGCCTTGATTATAAGAATTAGTCACTGGAGGCTGAGTAGTGCTCCAGTCAGACAGAGGGGCGGGGCAGTGACTAGTAATGGCCACTGTCTGGATACTCACCCCTGCTGCAATATTTCTCATTTTTGTGATGACTGTTGCATCCAGTCATGGCAGCTTTGGTATGGATGAGGTGACACTTGGTGGGGAAGTTGTCCCAGGTTGGGGAGGAGGTCTGCAGGGGGTGTGAACCAGCCCAGCTGCATGTACCCTGTCAGAAACCTGACATGTCTGCCTTTGAAATGTAGATCCCCCTGATTTAGTGGTACCATTGACACTGGCATGGTCTCAGACAGCCCAACTAGTCTGGCAGCTGGATGTCCAGCCACAGACACAACTCCGGCTTTGTGTATGGACCCGGCGGAGGTCATCTGGTCAGACCCCCATTAACTATGGCCTTGGCACACTTTTAACCCAGATGATCCTGTTTCTAACGGCACAGCCTCCACACCTTCACTACAGTACCCCTCCATGGTGCAGTGGAATTATAGAGGCAGGGGCGAGGTCACACCATTCCAGCACCTACTATTGATCGTAAATAGTTTCTCCTTGATGGGAGCTGGTGTTCCATATAGCAGGTCAATCAATGATAGCAAATCACAGTTTCTGATGTTGGTGTTTCTATGCTCTTGCATGTCTCAGGCCACTTAATAGAATTTCAGATGGGACATGCCCCAGACATTGAAATAAACCCGCCCTTGGGTTGACCTTGTGCCATGCCCTCTGGCCTGGGAAGATTTATGGAAGTCCAAGCCATCTACATGTACTTTTACCCTTCCAGACTTTAAAACATGGCAAGAAGGACATCCTCTCTGAACAGGGGGTTGCTAGAGGGGCAGATAGAAGAAAGGGGGTGTGGCAAAGGCCAACTATGCAGAACAGATGCTCTATTGAAAACTCTGACTCGAGAGGAAAAGAAGAGTGCCAATAAAAACATTTTTGATTGAAAACTTTTCAACTTCAATGGCATTTCAATATGTATAAATGCTGCTGTTTTCTTTTGATGCGAACATTTCTTTTTGTAAACTGGTGTACAAGTAGATGTCAAAGAGCAAAGTATCCATGTTATGTCATTCCAGCATACGCCTGTCTATACTCAAAGCTGTTACTGTGAAATTTGACCAAAGTTGAAATTGAATGTGTTGGCGCGAGAATAGATAAAACAGCTTGCAAACTATTGCATGGGATGTGCCAGCTCTCTTGCAATTGCTTGCTTTCTTAGAGCATCGACATTGACAGAGCACTCCTCAAATATTTTGTTGTTTGGCTGTCAGCTCATGACTGATTGAGGGGCATTTAATACACTAGGATTTGCCATGCATTCACCATTGCTTGCCTTTTCTGCCAGCTGTTGGAAAGAATGATCTCCTGAGGGCCAGCCAGTCAGTTTTGGATTCCTTTTGTGTTTTTGCTGTCCCCATATACAACACTCAACAGACCACACAACTCCTCCCTCTGTTGAGATTGAAATTGTATGAGCCAGTAGCTGATCTGGGTGGATCCCTAGAGGCTCGTGTTTGATGATTATCTGGCAAAAAGTTTCAGGCTCCACTTTAATGGTGAAATGGTCTCCCCATTAAATATCAGATCGAAGTTGCACCTTACCTTTTAAAAAAGGATCAGTTTGGGGACGACATTGATAACGGATGTGTCATTTGCTAACTACTGCCAGACTTTGTTGCTATGAGCAAGGATTCTCCTGCATGCCGATGATTGCCAATAGATCACTTTGCTAAAGGTCTTTTCTATTGACATCAGTAACATGGTGTTACAACTAGTTCCATCCTAACATAGCCCCATGTACTAAAAGCTAATTGCTTGTTCTTATCTCTGATAGCACTTGATTGTTATCATAATGAGATTGGGATGCATTGGGTGTGTTGGAAATGCCCTAATGACCCCATCCTCTAAGGACCAGTTACTTGAAATCAATAATGGCAGACATCTTTATGCTGTATTAGTCTAAACTTACAGTGACTTAATTATGTTTCTTGTGAGTGTGAAGACTAAAGAGCAAACTTTATGTGTAACATGCTGGACTTACTGGCTATAACAAAATATTTTTCTTGTTGTATGTTGCAGGTGAGAGACCGTTCCCTTGCACATGGCCTGACTGCTTCAAGAAGTTTGCACGGTCTGACGAGCTGGCACGCCACTTCCGCACTCACACCGGGGAGAAGCGGTTCTCCTGCCCCATCTGCGACAAGCGGTTCATGCGCAGCGACCACCTGATGAAGCACGCCCGGCGGCACCCCAACTTCCAGCCTGGAATGATCAAGAAACCGGACCATCGCCGTAGCAACCCCATGTCTTCGGCAGCGTCCACCGGGTCAGCGAGCGAGGACTACAGCCTGTCTCCCGCATCCAGCCCGCTGAGCGCGCCCAGCTCTCCGTGAACATCAGTGCCGTTCAGGACTGATAATGACACCAGCTCACCTGAGCTAGCTGTTACAATGGACTTGAAAGATGTTAAGTTACACTGACGAAGCATCTGGAAAAGAAATGACTGTTTGCCGGTTGTGGCAGTCTGGCACTTGAGCCAGACTCTGAGCTGTCAGCCAGGTGGCAAGTTTAAAAACGTAGGAAGTAACAAACGTAACATCCCAGTCACGATGCCTTCCCGTTCAGAATTGCCTTGATTCGAACTGTCCTTTCTACTATCTGACCCTACCTCAGGCCGATAGTCTCACAGTTGTCACGGCAACTGCATTCACTTGTTCTGTGTCTCATCTGAGAACATTCCTCTGGTACCAATGAAATTAATGGCACTGTTCTCTGCTATACTCTTAATAAGGCACTAACTGGTACAACGGCAAACTTTTTCGCGAGGAATTTGAAAGATCAGTGTAGAAGTGTTATTGAGACATTTGATTGATGGTGGAAAGGGGTGGTCCTTCCACCATACCTGTACATGTTCAAAATAATCTCTCAATTACGCAAATTGTCGTGTTACTGGAGACAGATGACAGTATGTGTTAGTACCACATTTTTCTTATGGAAAAGTTTTGTACTATTTCTACTCCATTGCCAAAAGTGGTGAAAAGTGTAGGCAAGTTAGCTGTGCGCATCTTGTGTATTGTTGTGCCATTAGGTACATTGCTGGGTTTGTCACTTGTTGAAGTGCTGTCTATTTTTCTACTGTTAATCAATGTGAAAGCTCTGTTATTATGCGCTTTAGCTATTAATGTCCTTTGCTGTTCTGTGCTAGATGTTTGGCTGTTGCTGACTTAGACTCAAAGCAGTAATAACCGTCGGCTGTTTGAACTCAAAGTAATCTGGTCATTGTACTGTAACGTTACTGTGTAGGGTTGCCTTTATGATATTGTATTTAACCAGAGGCCTTCCATTCCTTTGTGTCATAACACTTGCACATTGTTGGATATAACTTGTACTAGCTTGTCTCACCAGTGAAGAGCTTGAGGTAGTTATCATTGTAAAAAAAATCTCAGTGATGAGCCAGAATTGACATTATTATATAACTACAGTGTAGTATGGTCCAAAATCTGGACTATGTTGTGTATAACATGAAGTAGAGCCACTGATTTGGGGAGTGAAAGGTGTACTTTATTAACTTTGGATTTTAAAGGTTTGCCTTGGCAGAAAAGCCAAAACTCCTTGGACAAGATGTCCCAAAATTTCCTCCCTCAAACAGTGGATGCTACTTCTGTGTTGTCCTCAGTGTCTTGTATTTTTAAGGGCACCTCTGCTTCTGCTAGTTCTCTTCCAGCTTTGTTGTTTGCCAAACAATTGCCATACCAAACCAACCAGCTTGTTTTACCTTTTCTTGTGGAGACTGTTTCCACCATGTGGAATGAAGACTGTCTCCACTAAGCCATTTAGTTTCCATCTTGAGACTGGAGTATGATTCAGATGTTCTTGAACTTAAAATGCAGACAGTATTTTATCCTCAAGGTGAAAGTTAGAGGTGTCCTTTTGTGATTACCTGTAGTTAAATCATATCATTGGCAGCAGTGTAGAGTTGCCTACAGGAGAGGATATATCTCTTGTCCAAAGTTGCTGTAGATGTTACATGTCTGTCGGCTCACCACTGGCTGGGTGAACAAGTTTTAATGACAGGCATGTAGCAACCCTGGCAATACAGGACAGGGAGTCAGGAAGACTGATAGTGACTGTCATTGCTAACTTTAGTAAAGAGTGAAGTTTGTTGAGAAGAAAGGGCAGGTTCCTTGTCTCTATAGTAACCAGAACATATGTTTTTGTTGTTTTGTTTGTGAAGATCGAGCTGAAATTTGAGATAGAAGGTCAGCCATTATCCTGTGTAACAGACTGTTGATTATTCCCTCTTCAACCAACAAGCCTGAGGAGGACAGGAATTAGTTGTATGATTTTCATATTCAAAGCTTTTTTTAGAAATGAAATAGTGGAATACCACTTACTTCACAGACTCTATTTCCATATACATTAATGCTGCAAGAGTTTATTTATTTCATGTCATGTGCAACAGTACTTAATGTTGAGAAGTTAGGAAAATTCTTTCCCGCTGGACGGAGTTGAGAAGGGTGCTCAGTGCTTGATTGCCATTGACGTAAATACCACTTGACCTCATAGCAGGCTTCAGTAGTTGAAGGGGAATAAGATGAAGGCGTGTGAGAGCATGTTGTGTTGCCACATGCAGTGTTTAAGCCTGGACATTGTCGGTTGCCAATGAATGTGTCTATCTGTGGAAAAAAAGAGAGTTTTTAAGCTGTGTTCTCTGTGACGATGAACTATGCAATGGTTTGTTTTTCATACTTATGGGGTAAGTGGTGGAGGGTGTCGAGACTTCAAACACTGCAGGCTTCCTCTCCTGAAGACCTTGCAGCAGTTTTTGCCATACTTCCGACCAGTCATGCAATCCCTGTTTCCGATTGGTTGAAAATTTTTTGTCCAATTGGTTGAAAACCTAAACTTCTAACCAATCAGCTGTGACGTAACAAGATGAGTTTTACCAAAAGAAAGCAGGCTGCACATAAAATTTAGACAACAATGTTTTTTCAGTTTTGACCAAAAAGTGGTTTCTGTTGATTGGAAAGCACAGAAAGACGTTGAAAGGATGGCAGGTTGGACTTTTTCCTAAGGGATCAGGATTGTATGATATTGATATCTTCAGTAGATCTCTACATTGACCAGTAGACCACATCTTGTACTTAACATTGTAGCCTAATCATGTTCTAGATTTAGCTGTTTGAATGTTGCCTATTTAACGGAAACTGATGTTAATGGCTACAGATGACCTTGGTATATTTAACTTATGCTGTGTGTTATTTAATGCTTATTTAAATATGTTTACCACATAATATGTTTGCCTGTGCACCCACATAGGTTCCTTTGTTCTCTGGTATTAAGTTATACTTTTCAGGATTGGCTGTGACCACAACAGAATTGTATTTTGTATCGTTCAGGGTTTTATTGACCAAATAAGATGGAACAATATCATCGATTACCTCTTTCTGGGAATCGTTCTGTACGAATTTGTATGATCAAATTTATATTGGTAAATAAATGAGATGTGCATTGTACCTGTATTTGTGAGTCTTGATCATCAATGCTTATTACATTACTTGCTGAAAGTATGAATGGATGGATGGATGGATGAAGCTATTGCATCAGAATCCATTGAAAGTAACTTCACAAAAACTGACTGGTGGCAGTTACTATCAGCCATGTAAGATTTTTTCATATCTTTGAAACTGAAATGCCAAAACAATCTGATGACGTGAAGGTGAGGTGGGATACTGACCTGTATCCTAGTGAACATAGGGCCAGTCATAGCTTTGTTGAAATCCTTGGGAGACAAAGGGTGCTGACCTGTGTAGGTCCTGGCAATAGTTAGCCAGGTTTGCTCACAAGTATCCCAAGCCCACTGAGATCATGGAGTTAACTTATACCTCCATGCCAGCAATGCAGGAACCACCCTGCCTTACTCCCAAACAAAGCCTGTTATGGAGAGAATACCGCAATGCCCAATATCCATTTGCCCCAACACTCCTCACCCCCAACCCATCGGCAGCTTTAGTCATTACTCCCCTTTTGTGACAGAAGGACCCACCTGTTGTGGCCCATCCCTCGGACAAAGCCAGGCGCTGACTCAGATGTCTTACTCATCAACAAACTCTACATAGGTAGTTGAATCGTATCCTTGCCATGGAAACCGGTCCTGTTCTCTTTGTATGGCTCAGGGATAGAAGTTGGTTCGACCGCTTCTATGAGGGGAGGGGCACTGTGACGCATACTCCCTTTACTCATGGTATTTCTGCCTTTCAGGACTATTCTCTGCTGTGTTCTTGAACCTGTTGTGTTACATCTTTTGCTGTACTTGAAATACCGTCTACTTCGCAAGTTGAACCCCCAGTGGGTCTCAAACAAGGAGAAAGTCATTCCTTTTCTTTCCCCAAAGTGGCATATCGAAGCACTGACCATAGACACAGCTCTGACCTGTTGACCCCAATAAAAGAGTTGAAAGCAAAAACAGACGGTTCCCCGCCGGTTGTCGTCTGATACCGTGAATCCGATCTTATAACACCTCTCCTGTCATACACACGTCATTCTGTCCATCCCGTACCCGGCCCCCACCCCAGGCCCTTTCTCCCTGCCCATACCCCCAGGACGAATCACTTGATGGAGGGACCTGGACCCCCCCCCCCCTTACACACACACACACCTATTTCCCACACAAGGCAGGAGTGGACGCAGACAATATAGTGATAACATCGCCTAAGTGCTCTTTTCCATGACCCAGCTTCGGTCCTTCCTTGAGAGAGAAAACTAGGACAGAGTTTATATCAAACTCGTGATGGATACTGGAAATAGATATAATAGAAACTGGCCCGAGGAGTTGAACGTTAGATCTAACAGACCATAGAATTACAATTTGCAACCCACGGAACATCTGTACTCTAATTACTGACCAAGCCTTCTGATTCCCTTACTTCAGCCGTTCAGGCAATTTCTATTTTTTGCTACCCGCCAGACGTAGACACTTATAGTATTAGTACTACGACAAAGCTCTAGAGGCAGTCACCTAGTACCTGTGTGTGTGTACGTGTGTGTGTGTGTGTGTGTGTGTGTGTGTGTGTGTGTGTGTGTGTGTGTGTGTGTGCGTGCGTGCGTGCGTGCGTGCGTGCGTGCGTGCGTGCGTGCGTGCGTG